CCTTGCGGCTGTCAAACTTGACAGATCCCCTTTGTAATTTTGGTGGGCGGTGGGGGAGCAGGAAATCGATGTGACTCCCATCGGCTGGGGGGGGGGGTTGAAGAATGGAGCCTTCGCCGGCCAGCGAGATTTGCCGTCAAAAAAATGACTTCATAATGAGCTGAGATATCTCGTCAAAGTGTCCTCAAAGCAGCCTGCAGTGGAGTGTTAATATAGGTGGCTTTCCAATTATCTTTGCACGATTCTCCTGACTCTGCGTTGTGCGCTTGGATCTGGGCCTGGACCTCGCCTCCCTTCTGTGTAGTCTGCAGCCCTGCGGTCGATCTTTGTCAAAACCCAAGATTTCGTCCATGATTGCAGTCGGTCAACGTTACCGACGACGGACGATGAAGTCAAGCAAAACATGCTTCTGCCCCTGTGGGTGTGAGGGATGAGGAAGGTGGTGATGGCAAGATTGGAGCCGCGGCTGTCAACAAAGTCTGCTGCTCCTTCCTTTCCCCCTTGTGGGAATGCGCCCGATGTCACCGGCTGAAGAGCGCGCGGTCCTTTAGGCTTCAATCTTAGCCCAGGAACAGTATCCCCCTGCGACGCTAATGCTGACCGTTGCTGTCACTCTGAAGGTTTGCAATTGACGTGCGGAGCGAATGCGGCTGCAACGACTGACGTTGCCGACAACTCGACATTGCCGTTCCCGATTACACGAGAACTGCTCTGAATGGAACTACCGGTCGGTGGACCTCTTGATCTCCATCTGATATGTCTGTGTCACTGTCAGGACCCAGACGGGCCAGGGCGGTACTGTATCCAGCACGGCCGTCCCAACCGGCTGTGTTACTTAATAGGGAGCAGCTTGCGCGACGCGATACACAGGGCCGTGACAAGGGTTACCACTGCCGCCTTAAGATCCGATCTGGAGCTCCAGAAGGGGAAGACATTGTCACCGCCGTCACTTGTACCTCGCGAGCGACGGACGTGGTCGTAAAGTATCCACTGAATTCCTAGAGCTATGGGATGGTCGGACAAGATGATTTGTCTTGATTGCATGTAGGGAGTCGAATATGGAATAAGGCTCATTTGGGTGATTGCAGCTCGTACGACGTGTCTGGATACCTTTTGAGAGCACCTGTCACGGCCCCGGTGATGACCTGGCGTGCGGCGAGTCCCGCCTGGCTGGGGGGCATTGGTGTCGTCTGTGTATAACGTCGGGCCAGGGCTTGTCAGATCTTCCAACCACCGAGATTGGGTTGTTCTCGAAGAATGCATCCACCAATGACGAGTCAAGTTGATGAACCGTCAGATTAGCAAAGGTGTTTCCGAGTCTCCGACCTGTCCGAGCTTGATGATGTGGTGATGAGTTATGCAGTAGACAAGACCTGGATCACAACCAGAACCCCCAGCTGGAGGAGTGACCTGGCGCGTTGTGGTGAGTCGACGACCCGTCATGGAGGCCCGACTATCATCGACCTGCATGTCCTGTGGGACGTCGGCCAAGGCCTGCATATGAGAAAGCAAACTCTGTTGATCATTGATCATGCCAGAACGCGCTGCATCTCGCGGCACGCCGCTAGAAAAGGACCTGTAAAAAGCAATTCTATCGGTCTTGCTCGCCGAACCCAAGGGTGAGCGAGGTACCCTGATCATGCCCTTCAAAGAGATTACCTGCGGACTTGTCAGCTTTGGGAATTAGAGGACGGGGCGTTGGCCGTTCAATGAATCAATCGTTGATGGCTGACCCAGCTTTGTGGTCCAAAGATACGGAACCTAGCATGGCCAAGATGCAAATTCTCTGGACGGTGGCATTCTCCGTTGAACACAAAAGAAATGCCTAACAGCTTGGATAGGGGTGCATGGGTGATTCCTTCGTGTCAGGTATCTCGTTGGCTGTTTGCTGAGAGTTTCCTGGGCCTGGACTGAGGAGCTCCTGTGTCATCGGGGAGAATGAGGCCCGGTAACAGGCTACAACACGAGTGCTGGTGACACGCTGCTGCACACCTTGCGGTTGCACAATGGTCCGTCCGTTTGAGGAATCGTTGATGTGAAAACCCGTTGAATTGGTTTCTGAAGCCCGGGCGGGCTGAAATGGAGAGTGCATCGGGGACCCATGACACCTCCGTGCCCTGGGAAACCCAGGTGGCCTGGGTACCACAGACATACGTCTTCGTATGACCTTTTGCTTGCGCCTTCGCCATCGCAAGCAACGGGTCTAGGTTCCTCGAAAACCCATCGAGGCAAAAGTACCGGCCGGAGACTCAACTCAATTTGAGTGGGCGGGTCATCATGGCCGTAACATGAGGTGCCAGGTCGGCGGAGTGCGGCTCACCCACATTTTGACAGGCGATGGGAAGATTGCGACTGCACGATCGATGCGGATAATCTGGCCGTGATTAACTGGCGCGGCTCTCTATCCCTTGGATCTTCAGGGTGGTCGATGGCGGTTGGTCTCTCCACGCAATAAGTATGCTGGATACGGTCCCCGGCCTTTCTACGCAGTAAAGGACCAAATCCCCGGAATTGTCAGCCAACCCACCAGTTCAAGAATCCTGGAGTTTGACAAGGCATTGGTGGCAGAAATTCTCTCCTGCTGGATGCGGCTTCGCGGCTGTCCCCCCACGCCTCAGCAGTGCCTGCGGCAAGTCGCACAGCTTTGCGTATGAAGACCGATGTTTTCCAATCATTTGCATACCACAAATGGGCTCGTGTTGAGGCGTCCCATCACCTGACCTTGGAACGGTTCACCGGTTCGGGGTGTTTCGGTAGTGAAGGACGGAGCCGGATCCGAGTCGAATCGAAACGTGGAGCAGCAAGATAACTGGGTCGGTGGCACCTAAGGAACCCTTGAAAGACCCCAGTTGGCGGGCTCTGCCGTCTCATCAATGGGAAGTCGTGCCCCTGCCTGCCCTGGTCTTCACAATGGAGATCCATTTGAATGGGAACCCTCACGACGGGTAATCTTTGCTTAGTTGGGTGATTTTTGCGAATGTGATCCCTGCACATGCGGATGGGTGGGCCACCCAGCGATCTGGCAGACTGGACAGGCCTGGCATTCATCGAGAAAACGAGTCCCATTTCTTTTTTTTTCCATACTTCGTGGAGCTGCGTGGAGCTGTCAAACGTACGATGCCATGTGTTGGTGCGCAATAACCTGGAGTTCGAATCCCCACCGCAGCGATCCTGTCGTCGCCCTTTTGCAATGTAGGCCGGACATGCCGCTCAGCAGATAGATGCCAGCCAGCACGTATTTTCGAAAACGGTCGGCGAAAACGCACGGCGAGCACAATATTGTGCGCCATCCGCCGACATAACGATACGCAGCATCTGAGATACAATGCAAACAGATGAAGGGAGGCTGCAGCCAGTCGATCAAGTCTTCTGAAACATGAGGCGTTCAGGCGAACAGACGCTCCCACGCGATGTTTGTGTGTCTGTTCGGCCGGACTAGTTGACGGAGCTTCTATTTCTGTCGACCTGGTGGAAGATAAACAATAACAATAATTAATCAAGCCATGTTGGCGCTGTTGGTTAAGGTTTCTGGATGAACGTTCCTGACAGCAACCTGAAGCTTCGGAGGATGCTCTAGAGCCGGTGGACGACGAATAACGTGAAGAACTCTCGGAAGCGGTTCGGAGCCTCTCTTTTGTGGCACAAGGTATTTTTAGGGTTGCATCGTCGAGCGCGATATCCCTTGTCGCTGGTGGAGATCCAGGACACTGACGGAGCTGGACCGTGTTGGTATGACAAGGCAGCCTCCACAGCAGCTCGAACTCCCCTATTTGACCCTTGGGCTTTGACGAGCGGAGGTGGAAGATGCCGCCCGAGAGACAGAACCCAGGCGGGCATCGTAGACGGGAGACAACGGTGGTGACATGCAAGTTGACGGCGGTGACTTGGGTCGGAACAATATGCAGCGTCGGATGGGAAGCAAGATCGATTTGTGAACGACAGGCGGTTGTGATCGCGCATGCTGCTGTTGGCGTCTGCAGTGGCGCGCGATGCGATTCAAAATGCAGCTGCCGCGAGGGCCGCTGCGTCAGCGAGGCGAGCAGGCTGAGGGGATTCGGACGTGGTCCATAGAGACATCAGTGACGGCTTATGCAGTCTGCTCAACTTGACCGCAGCAGCAGGGCCAATCAGGCTGGAGAAGCGGCCGGGATGGGCGGACACACAGGCAAGCAATTTGGGGCCGTCAGTCGGCCAGGACGACGACTCGATTGGCATGATCGTCCTGTCCGTTCTGCAGGAGGGCATGTGCTCGGGCGCACAGGGCAGCGGGAGGGCATTGTACAGTGCGCTTGTGCCTGCGGCTGGTGGATGTGATTGATTGACGGATTGATGATTGGTACTCCGCCGTGACGAAGACGGGTGCCGGGATCGCTCGGTGGCTGAGGCTCTGGAAGATTGGTCGAACTGTTCCAGCAAGATGACAGGAACTTGAAGATCCAAGGCGGTGTCCGGGGAGTATGATAGGCAGTATGAGGTTTAGCAGTTAGATTGGCCTTCCCCTGAGACGTCGTAGAAGATCCATGGACGTCTTCTCGACTCGGGGCTCGGTCCCCAGCTCCTAATCATTATCGGCCCTTGTGTGTGTCAACGCGCAGCCCGTGGCGTCCAATCTCTGGACAGGTTCTACAGAATATCTGACCGGCCGATCTATTCCTTTCGTCAACGACGACGACGACGGCGAGGTGGGAAGAAGATGCTCCTTCGAGTGCCCTTCGCCTTTCTTTCGTGGAGACCAGGGAACAAGGATGGAGAGATTGAGAGAGGCAGCCTTGGGCGGGGGCTAGAAAGCTTGAGAACTCGGGCTGGCCCAAATTCGAAACGGCACTGAACAGTCGGTCAGCTCTGTGCGGTGAACCGGAAGCCAGCCGCGATTGACCGGTTGACGATGGCTGGAGGGAAGGATGTGCGTGGTGTGCACGCGCGTGCGTAAGGTATGTGTGTTTGTGTAGCGGAGACTCGCCCGTCTGTCAAGCAAGCTCGACAAGACGACAAGATAGCAGTTAGGGTCGGGTCGAGTCCAGGCCAGGGCGGGTCAGGGCCGTCGAGGTATCCGTACCCGCACAAGATGACGAGGGTTTGGCAAGGTCAGGGTCAAGGTGTAAGTACATACGAGTGCGAGCGAGCATCTCGTTCTTGGTAGGTATTCGTACATGCCTGTGCGTGGCGGCGGCGTCGAGACTCGAGAGTGTAGTTGTCGTGGGTAGTTGTCCAGGGCCGGGACCGGGACCGGGACCAGGAGCAGGAGGAGGAGTAGATTCTGGGCGCATGTGCATCATGTTTGCTGCGTCGGTCTATCACATCTCATATCGGGAGAGACGATGTTGTTGGCGGATATTCGCAGCAGTTGTCAAGTCCAAGTCTCTGGCACCGGCACCCGGTGAAGGGCAGGAGGGAGGGGCGGGTNAGTTGTCAAGTCCAAGTCTCTGGCACCGGCACCCGGTGAAGGGCAGGAGGGAGGGGCGGGTGTGGAGGGCCAGCAAATGGGAGGCTTGGATCGGAAAAGGCTTCTCCGCCGCATCTCTTTGCTGGGGCGGCAGGGCCAATGGGAAGAGCCGACTGGCGGGAGTTGTCTCCCACTTCAGACCGAGAGGCAGGCGTGAGGCTGCAGCATGTCCAGGGCAGGAGCTCTTTCCATGGATGCATGAGGAGCTGGCACTTTGCTCTCGCTTGTGGCTTGCAGGCAAACGATTCAATCAATCCAATTCAAGTCAAGACAAATGCACAGTGGAGTCGGTCTGCTTACGCTGCTCCGTGCATGCCCATGTCATGCCTTGAGCAGCTAGGTAGTTTTTTATTTCTTTCTATTTTCCCCCCTTGGCGTGATAGCTGACGCCCTCGTCACTTTAGAGAGCAGTGACCAGAGAGACATTATCCGTAGCCGTTACCTTAATATTCTGCAGTAGGTAAGGTAAGGGACTTTGGTGAGGTGATGAGCGACTGACTGGCCAATCACAGCAAGTCTCGTCAGTTGCTCCGACGGCACTTCAAGTAAAATTGCGCTTCTATTTTCTCCCCCTATCCGCCGCCGCAAAGCCATCGGGAGACGCCCGGGTGCCAAGTGACGTCTGGCGCGGGCCCCATGACGGACGACAGACGGCGTGCGGGACTGTCCAGGCTTGATCGCATCCCAGCTGTGTCAGGCTGCTGGGGCCGCTGTCGTTGGCTTGGTTGGCTTCGTGGGCGGTCCAGTCCATGCCCGTGGAGGAAAATGCAAAGATTGAAGGCATCGCCAGACTGGTGCTAGCCTCGTCGACCTTGTCTGCTTGTGTCTTGGTTGATTCCAGTCTTGGGAGTTGGGGGAGTCTGGCTATTTTTGGGCGGGGCAGGAGGAAAGAGCACACTCAACGGGGAAAGGCGGCTGGGCGGTGTCGTTGTTGGTGATGGTGGAAGCGTTTTGGCAAGTGCAGGTGCGACAATAGCAGCAAGTGCAGACCACACCTTCCTTTAGTTGTAGCCAGTCTTGGAAGCACTAGATAGTTGCAGAGACACTTGGTGGCTCTTTCCCCTCCAATTTGCGCATCTCCGTACACGCCCAGAAAGCCCAATCTTGGGTACCTACCTTACCTAGGTAAAGTAACAGCAACACTTTCATTGTAAGCCCGTAGGTCGTCAACAAAAATCTTGCCCGCATATCCACCTCACCCAATCGCGCTACCGACCACCAACCAACCTTGCTCATCGGGACGCACATCTGGGGTTGATGCCCGTCGCAGTCCTCGACGGACGGGTGCAGATGCCATCTAATCACCTCGCATTTCGATCTGGTTTGAGCTGCATCTAATACCACGCGGCATGTCTCTGACCGTCTGTCTGGCTACCTGACTGGCTGCTGTCTGCACCGTTTGCCAGATGCCAGCCACCAACTAACCGGTCAGTGGGCAAGAGACAGTTGCAGTGCAGCGACTTGCCTTTGCGTCTGTCTTGCTTGTCTACATTGACAATACCTTAGGTTACCTGTTATGCTGCTTGGCCTTGACCTCGGGCACACAGGCGCCAGCACGAGGCCGGGCTCGAGCATTGCATCGCAGCGTATCAAAGCACCCGCGTCCCTACCTTACCTACGCCTAACACGCACCACACATCACGCATCTCGCACCACGCATCACGCATCATCACCCAACCCTTGCCAGTTCACTCAACCACCCCCAAGCAAGCCACAAGCCCCCATGCCCACGGCTGACCCGGTGGCGATGGCGACGGCGATGGCCCTGGGGCCACCACCACAGCGACCTTCCGATGCAGATGGCCACCGGTACAGTGCACCCCCGAGATCGATACAGACGCTTGGCTGTGAGATCTAGGAAGGCAACCAAGTCGCAGCCTCCCGTCAGCTCATCATCAACAGAAGCATTCGGTAGCCAATCCCAGTCAACCATGGCAAACATTATCTTGTCTCCCTCCGAACGCCATAGACTTCAACCGCTATTCCCTTCCGATAGCAAGAGTCTGATTGGAGGACCAGACACTCTTGGTACCAGCCATCCAGCCAGCAGCAGCCTACCGGGGCACGTCGAAAACCAACTGCGAGTCCAAGTGTCTACGTACCCGCCACCATTACCGTCGTCAGTCTTACGCACATCACCAGGCAGACTTCCGGACCCGCCCCGGTCTGTTGTGTACATACTCCAGACCAGGATCGAGAGACTTGGACGTACTCACTTGGGCTGCACACTTGGGCTGCACACTTGGGCCACGCGCAAGCAGCAAACCTTCTCTGGCTTCGGGGCTGGAGACTTGGGACAGACCAAAGATCGCCTGTCTAGCACAGATCCCGCGCGAACGTGCTCTGTTACTCGGAACTCTGCTGCGCTTGACTTCTTCGCCTGAAGACTAGCCGTGTTAGCCGCCAGCATGGCCCCAGGTGCCCTACGGTGCGCTGTCAGACCAACCTTGGCTTCCCTACGGCTCCAAACTAAGAGTTGAGGGGTGGAAAAAACTGCTCTGCACACCAACACCACAATACATCTGCAAGACCAACCGTTGGTTGGGAGCGTCTTCAGCTTGTCCCGACACACGGACTGGTGACCTGGTAGCAAGGGCCGCTCTAAGCACTGGAAGAGGCCGTCGTACTGCCGGAGGAATCGGTACCTGCAGTGGCTCGACAGTCCGGCTGATTGCTACCTGCCTACCTACCACCCTACCTACCTGAGCGTTCTGGCCAGCCCGTTGTCATACTGGCTGTTGCTAAGCTGCAGGGCGGTCCAGCGCAGCAGAGCCTAGCGACTGGTAACCCGAATGACGCGAGTTGGTTCAAGGTTTGCAGATGTGACAAGATCGGCTTCGCACTGCTCTCCTACCTCACCTTACTTTATCAAACAAAACAACATTGACAAGGGGAGGCCTCGATGGGAGTCCACAACGCCGCCTGGACCAGAAAGCGGTCGGGCTGCAGCATTTTCGACAGCAGCAGCATTCTGTCAGCCAGTCAGCGGCCGCCGTACTCGAGGCTACTGGTAATCGAAACTGTCGACCCAAAGCGAGGGCACCAGCGTACGTGCAGTCGCTGCACGCTGTGCCTTTGGCGTGTCCCAGCAGCGGTTTCCAACTACGGGGTACCATAGTAGCTGCGACGTCCCAAATCGACGAGCAAAAGAAGACGCCCTCTCCTTGCTACTACGCACTCACACCAGCAAACCTCAGATGTCAAACTCGCGATACCACCGTGGCCCCTGACGGGTCCTCCATCAGTCAGCACCCGGGCTTCCGTCTCTCCTTGTCTCCTTCCCACCCTCCTTTGTGTGATGTATGATGTGCACGCCGTTCCCCGGAACCCCAACTCAACTTCCTTGGGGCGCAGCAACTTGAGGCGAGACTTGACAAGGAGCCCATCATGACAGATCCTGAGGAGCCAATCGCAATCAAGGCTGGCGTTTGACAACCTGAGCAATCCCATCTTGGTTCCGATCGACCTCAGATCAACCGTACCGCATACTGCCCCGAGCGACCAATCGCAATTATCGTTTCCCTAGATCTCGTCACGAACCTTCCAGTCTTTGGACCTGTCATGCACACACCTTGACCTGTTTCTGGGACCTGTCAAAGAATGGCGAGCAGAAGAATTATCGTGGGACCCCAGACAATGCTTTTCGAAGCAAGGATTCGCCACGGCCACCAGGGCAAAACATTGATGCTACTCGGAACATGCCACTTCCTTTCAGCCACAGGCCCAATCAATTGTGGTGCCGACCGGGGGCCACAGGATCACCGCGGTAGATCTGCGTTTTTGACAGCTCTCCCTCGCGCGGGCGGCTTCGGCTCCGGAGCGCGCTTGCCTGTGTTCCCTTGCGACGGACAACGAGAGAAGAGGCACTCGGCCCCTCCCTGGAACTCCCTGGAGTTGAGGCTTGCCTGTTAGGGCGCGCCTCCCATCTCCCCTCATTAGCCATGATTCCCCAAAATAAGCACGTCTACCCAAAGTTGAAACGGTAGTCACCAAAGTCATGGCCAGAATGCCCTTAGTTCAGGCGACTGACTCGGCGGTTCTTCCGGCTGTGAAAGACTGCTGCTCGTTGACGAGATGGCTGTCGAATAAAGCATCCCGCCATCTCGGGAGCTGACAAAAAACGGGAGCCGCATGACATCGGGTACCTCGATGCTTTGCGGGGATGGAAGGGTGTTGGCGGGAAAGGGGAGGGACGAGGGGACAAAGGTTACATATGTCAAAGTTTGATCATCACCAATCGCAGAGCAGCAACTCTGCTCAAATGGACACCAGCCTTCGTTTTGAATCAAGGCCTGCAAACACTTCCAGATAAGGCAAATGTCAGAACGATCCGATAACCAGACGTATGGCCCGTCAATGGTGGGAGCCGCAACGCACTGCATGCATCGCGCGCAACTCAACTCGTGTTCCAAAACACTCGGACGGAAGAAAAGCATCCAATGATGGTTGACGTTTCAGTCTACATCGATTGTCCTTGGGTCGAAGTGCCATGCCCTTTTTTTGTCGATGTTGACAAGCACAGCCTCCGCCATCGAAGGTCGTGGTCGAAGCCTCAGAAGGACGTTCGACGCCTAGGAGGAGCTCCCAACCAGCCAACCCTCGGACTTTGTACGGTTAGGAGGTTGTTGTTTTGAGCACGTCACAGACGTCAGCTGCAACCGGGCGACTGACGGGTGGCTTGAGAGGCGACAAGAGGAAGGCAACAAGCAGAAGCAGAAAAAAAAAAGGAAGAATGCCATTACTCTCCCAGTTTCTTGTCAGAAACAAAGTTGTTCGGCTCCGGTTCTTCAACCCAAGGCTTGGGACGGACGTCTGAATCGCGTTGTCTGCCCT